TTATTGTTGTTGCTAGTTTTGATATTTCTTGCAAGCCTCAGCTCATTCTTTGCTTTAGTTTTTCTGTCAGATATCCTACAGAATATGTTTTTTCAGTTATGTTTCCCCTTCCTTTATTTCCCAACCATATTACTTTTTCCCTTAAAAGTTTAAAAAGCTTTTCGTGTATTCATGCTGGGCTCTTTATATTTCTCCCAATTGTGCCTTCAATATCTCATTTTGTAGAATCTCCCATCCTTGTATCTGTTTTGTTTTTCCTATTCTTACCCAAATACTTTCAATAGGATTTTCATGTTTTGATTAATATCTTTCTAAGTTTGCAAGAAATATAAATATTTCTTTATATCTAATACAATATCCCCCACTTTCTCTTTTTTGCCTTGTGAATAAAGTATACTCTTCTAATGCTGTGTATGAAAGCATCATTCCACCAAATTTCCTTTCTCCACCATATTTGTCTTCCTAATTAGGATCTCTAATTCTTAGGGCATGCTAGAAATAAAATGAAATTCAAGGGGAAAGAAGAAACACCTGAGATTTTGATTATTACTAGAATGTATTCTTGTACTGTCCTGCAAAATTTTGAATCCCCTTTCTGGCCTCCTGCTTCTTGTTTTGGGTCCTACTTTTTGGTTCTACTCTTGGCTCCATATTTGATCCTGAGCTTTTACTCCCTTCCCTTTTTAGTTCTAGTTCAACATTCTATCAAAAAATTTGGTGAGATACTTGCCAAACATTTCCTTCCCAGTTTTTATAACATATATCCAGTCTTTTTCCATGAAATCTTTGGGAAGGTAGCATAGGTCACTATTATCAAAACCAAGTCACTTCTCAATGATACCATTTAAATAGCCAATTACTGACTTTCAGGATCCTCTTTTTTCTTCTTGCACCATGACCCTCAACTAGTAGGATGAAAACATTTTGCTTCCATTTTCTTTATCTTTTTGCCAACACCTCTTACAATGCAGAAATACTTTCATGGTCTTTTCTGATTAGGTTCATTTATCCACACACAGGTTCAAGAAGAGAGGATATCTTTTTGGTGGCTGTCTAATGTTGGCAATATCTGTCATATCTGAAATTTTCCTGTATATAGAAGGTAGTACGTGTCCTGCAGGGTCATATTGAGTCTGCACACAACTGGTTTGGTTTCTCTTAACAAAGAATTACTTACCATGGCATGACCCCCTCTTTTTTTCCTAAACACTCTTATAGGACTTCAATCCATTGAAGTTTGTTCTACACTGATTGATCACATGATTGCCTCAGATGGCTGTCTAATGTCCTTTACAATGAGAACCTGGTATGAATTCCAGAATTCTATTGTAACTGAACGTCTCCTCACTTTTTTGCTTCTTTTGGGCACATTTTTCCGCAAATCTACATCTGCCAAAGATTTTTTTTCTCCTGATGTTTTCTTCTCTCCTTTCTTGGAAAATACTTATGAATTATTAAGAAATATATTAATAAAACTTGCTATTATTTAACAAAGGGACAAATTCCTAGTTTCTGAAGATAACATAAAAGAGGAAAACGACAGAAGATAACATTATTCAATAATAAAAAAAATACAAAATATAGGTAGTCCTCAACTTTCAATAGCTTGTATAATGACCATTCGAAGTTACAACAGCACTGAAAAGGTGACATGACTGTTTTTCACATTTATGACTGTTGCAGCATCCCCATTGTCAAGTGATTAAAATTTGGATGCTTGGCAATTGGTTCACATTAATGATGGTTGAAATTTCTCAGGGTCATGAGATCACCTTCTGTCAAGCAAAGTCAATGGAGAAATTAGATTCACTTAACAACTGCAGTGATTCACATAACTATGCCAAGAAAGGTTGTAAAATAGAGCAAAACTCACTTGTCTTGCTTAGCAACTGAAATTTTGGCCTCAATTGTGGTCATAAGTTGAGGACTACCTGTCTATTTATTTACTTTATAAAATAAATATTTTTGAATTTATTCTTTCTGCCTTCTAATCTGCAAAGGAAGTTTGACACCTTAAACAGGTTCTCTGAATGGCATTTGTGATAGGATAGCAATAATTCTGCACCATTTTTGTCTGTAGTGTGGGCTCAAACATGGCTTCTTACGTATAGTCATTCAAAGAGTCCCAACTCTTTTTATACCATTCTTGTTGTAAACATATATTCAGTTACTTCCTTTTCCAGAGTTCCTTGGATTGAAAGACTGTTCAGGGTCCATCACATCCAACATCTAGTTGACCTAATTCCAGAGGTCAATAAGGCATATGATGAAGCTGCCCATCAGTGTGTTAGGTAAATCTGATTGGATCCATAGCTACCTGAACAGACCATTCTAACTGGTACCACTTCTCTGTGGAGGTTAAAGAGTTAAGTTCCATAGCAACATGAAGATTATTGAATGATGACATAGGATAGGTGGAAATGTCATCCATTTTCAGATTCTCCAAACTAAAAACTAGTCTGAGACCATGTCAGGCTGAAGAATCTGATATTATCATGATGGCTGTGAACACCATTCTTGAACCTACTCCCAAAATACAGAAATTGGGAGCCTTCAGCACCTGTAACTGGGTAAGAATCAACCCCAGCCTGGCTACAAGATTGAGAAGCCTGGGAAATATACTGTCAGGTAGCATCTTCTTATAATTGTACTGAAGAAGTATGCATATATTTACCAAAAAGTATGCCCTTCTGATATTTTAGATCAAATCTTATCAGCACAGGATGGGAGAAGTTGTCCAAGTCATTTGGAGGATACTTATATTTGCAAATCCTACCCTCAAAATTATACTGTGGGTATATGGGCAAATATAAAGAGGAAAATTACCTTTAGAAGATGAAAGTGAGACAAGGAATTAAGGAAATATATAATGAAGTGTTTTCCAATTTGGGACCACCATATGTATTGGATAATGATCCCTGCTAACTTCAACCAGCATGGCCTTTTGCAAACCTAGCTAGATTTACAGCAGGGGTCAGCAGCCTGTGGCTCTGGAGCTGCATGTGGCTCTTTCATCCCTGTAGTGCGGCTCCCTGTTGCCCATCAGCTCCACAATTGATAAGGCTTTCAGTTAGGATAGGTAAAGGAAAAAGGACGCTGTGCTAGTAGGAGACACTATGGTGGGGATAACCGGACTTCCGGTTGGCTCCAGAATTGAATGGGGGGGGCTTCCGGTTAGGGCATTTGTAACTCTTTGGTGCTCAAGGTTGCCTACCCCTGATTTAGAGACTCAGGGAAATGACCTTGAGCAAAACAGGCAAGAACCATTATATAAGCCAAAGGGCTGAAACATTTCCTAAATCCTGGGAAACAAGTTAGTATTCAGTAGAGACTCAGGAAGAATTAATCTCTCTGATTAATTGAATATAGTATAAGGTGAGGAAAAATAAAGCCCAGTCAAGTTTGCAAGATTTTGTTGTTATGGCGAATCCCATTAAATTATAGTTCTAATCTTCCTGTAGAGTCTGTTTCTTGATTTGGTCTGCCTAAAAGGGCTGACAGTAATTGTAGTCTTGCATATACGGTAGGCATTCAAGTTAGGCTGGAGAGTTGAACAATATTTCAGTGGCAAGATGCATAAAGGATGAAAGGTACCTCTTGAATATTCATTTTGACCATTGTAGTTTATGGATCACTGTAGCTATATTCAATTAACAGGCTAGAAGCTGGTGTATTAAATCAATGTGAACAGGATCTCTTCTCCCCCCCACCCTCTTTTCAGTTTTTCTGTAGTGGTTTCACTTATAGTAACAATGGGTGAGGTCCAAATGTCTGTCGAAACGCCTGTCACCGTTCTCATAATTTTAAACGGACTGAGCGAAGCTCTTGAAATGAACATTTTAAAGATCTGTATGTCGCAGGATTATGCGGTAGGTTGGCGAGTGTACCAGAGGGCGAGGTGCAAGAGAAGGGAAACCGATTCGGAAATGGGAGTAGTGGGAGGGGAGGGGAGGGGAGGGATCCAACATATGGGAAGCAAGTCCGGAATGAAGGCTGCTTCTCGTTCCCTTTAGAAGGCCGCAGCTTTTCAGATTCTGTAAATTCCAGTCTGTACTGCCGTTGAGATAAGTGACGCGCGCACCGTTTTTCATTCAGGTTTGCTTTATTGAGGCGGGGGAAAGCCAGGAGGAGGAGGAGAACGCGTGCTCACATTGTGCTGCACTGCTGTTTTCGGCTGGTTCTTTCGCTCTCACTCGAGGAATCCTCTCTTTTTGCGGGAGCAATTAGAGATGGGGTTGTCTTACCTGAGAGTTGGGAAGGCCTTGAGGTGTGGGAACCGGGCATGCTGTATGTGCCCGGGCTGGGTGTGGTTTAGGCTGGGGAGGTGCTCCCCAACCTCGGATGCCTCTCCTATCGAAGGAGCTCTTGGCTTGGGAGGTGTTTCCCTGCCTGCCTGCCTGGGGTCCTTCTACTGAGAGAACCAGGAACTCTTACTGAAAAATCTGCTATGGGTCTCACACGAGACTTTTTATGGCTTTCGATCGGTTACAGCGAACGTGCTGCGTTCAGGGTGATTGTGAGGAGTTCCAGGAGGAGATTGGCGGCGGGCGAGAGGAATAGCAAAGGCTGTGTGTCGGTTTAAAGAACGCGATTGGGTGGCTGTATCTTTAAAAGGAAGAGGCGGTGGAACGAAAACTACCTTGAAGTATGGGGTTGGTCTATGCTAATTGGAGAGGCGGTGCCAGGATGAATGGAGGGAGGTAAGGGCGGTACAGCTTACAGCCGAGGAAGAGCTCGTGTATTCTGCTCTGTCTCTTTAAGGAACCAGTTGATACCATTACCGGGGGAGGAAAAAAAAAGGGGGGGAGCAGATCTTTCCCACTGTTTTCCTCCTTTGAGACAATACCATTCCCATTGCTGGGTGAAGAGGCCCTATGGGTTGAGGAGTGAAAGCGAGTGAGTAAGAAGGGGACGTTCCATTGATTGGGTACGGCGGGGGAGTGACGAGAGGCGGTTTCATTCGATGAGGAGGGGGGGGGAGAGGTAGAGGGGAGATGGGCGGTACCATGTGGAAGAGGAGGAGGGAGACTGACTGGCGGACAATGGAGCCTGTGTGTGTTTATGGGAAGGGAGCGAATTCACCCTCGCCGGGGAGAGTCACAGCGCCGCCCCCTCCTGCCCGGGGGTGAGGGGTGCCCCCTGGCCGGGCCAGGCCAGGCCACCTCCGCCCTTGTTCAGGAGAGCAGTGAGTGTGAGAAGGAGAAGCAGAGGAGGCTCTGCATGGTGCCAGCTCCCCTGGAAACTGCGGGCCATGGGAGGTGAGAAGGGAGGGGGCAACGCGGTGGTAATGGGTGGGTGGGTGAGTGGCTGGGGGGGGGAGACTCTGAATAACTGCGGGCCTGTTCGGGGGAAAGTTTCAGAGTTGGGGGGGCTGGTCAAAAAACCCGGGACGGGCGGGCGAGCTAGCGCGGAAAGCGCGTGGGGGATGGAAGAAAGAAGACTCCATAAAGCGGGAGGGGTCGGTGTTAGGTAAAGCGAGGCTGGGGGGGGGCAATTCCGAGTACCCTCCCAGAGGGGTGGGGGGGGGGGGGGGGGGGAGGAAGGGAGGAAGGAAGGAAGACAGGCGTTGGAGGAGGCCGAAGGGAGAGGGCGCGACCACTGGATGTGAGGGAAGAACAAACGGGCGGGTGGCGGGGGGGAGTGAACGTTAATCCTGGGAAAGGGGGGTTGTCTGTGATTGAGTTTGTGTATGTTTAGGAGATTGGCAGGGGATCTGGGTAGTTAAAAGACGGGAGGTATTGGCCATGGGGATACAAAAGGAAGGAGGCGACTATTGGTGGAAAAGTGCAAGAAACTAAGCCTACCTGAAGTGTGCCTGGGACCGGGATCCTTTCTGCATTCCGGTCACCTCTTTCCTTCTTAACCATCATTGGACGGGGGTGATTTGTGGTTGTGGAATAGGGAATGGAGACCATCTAATGCATGGTTTGGAAGTGAGGAGCTCCATAATTCCGGGGTGGAGAGGAATGTCTGCTTTAATTTACAGTCAACTGTAAACCAGTTGGAAGAATACCGATATAGGAGTGTATGAATATGTTTTGAGTTTTATGGGTAAGGATGAAAATGTTGGACTATTTGATGCCACTCTATTGATTTCTTAGGAAAACAAGTTCTGTGTTTGTCCCCCCCCCTGCCCCCCAATGCAGGTCATAGTATTGGCATAAGAGGAGGCATATACCAGTATATGGTGAATAGTCAGTATAGTGCTAAAGAGAATAATATATTTTAACCTCATTATGTTTATAACTATCTTTTCATTCAAGGGCTGAAAAAACAACCATTTGAGGTAGTTGGCCTAAGAGAGACATCGGTCAAAAGTCATTTGGTTAGACTGGCTGAAAGTAGGCTAGAACCTGAGTCTCCCCTAGAACATTGACAGATTGCATTCATTACTCAATGGTTAATATCTATTATATCTATGGCATACATCTTTGGATATGTAGATATATTGTAGATTTGGACATAATGTTTAATTCTGCAATTAATGCACTAGTACAACATCACAATATGCTTATTCATGCATTAACAAGTTTTGTGAAAGAAACTAAAATTGTTCCTAAGTTTTGGCCTGTAAGCAGTCACTTTTTTATAGAGTTAACTAATTTTAGTGCTTCATTATGTAGAAGAGATTTCATATAAAATAATGTAGGTTTTTTACTTGGCTATTCTGAATACAATATGCTCTACATGGATGGTATAAAATGGAAGGAATAAAATACGCAATTTTGATTTTTTTTGAAGTGTTGGATACTTCAGATTAATCAAACTTTACATAGATTGGCAGGCCCTTTTCTGTTCCACTGACAAATATGGGATTAAAAGACGGAGCAATATGTCTAATGAATGTTGGCATTTTAAATTATTTTAAGATTGTAATTTAGTTACAAAATAGAGAGCATGTAGCAATAGTTTAGAAAATGAATTGAGTGAATTGGTAGATAGCTGGGACATATCACATTGTCCCATTTGATTTCAGTTTTAATTTATATAATTCTTTAAGTATCTACTGTTTACAATTTTTACTACAATTCTGAGTAAACTCAATATATTCCATTAAAGAGAATTTCAGGATTGTAATCAAATGATACAGAGAATGGCCTTACATATCATTCTGGATATTGTTGTCTATGCTTAAAATCTTAATACAAGGCAAACTTGTCTATTAAAAGGCAATATTTTATAATTAGAATCTTCCATTTAATATGCAGTTGTGTAAACATAAGATCATTTAAAAATGAATTTTGTTCATACCTATCAGGTAAATTTAATAGAGTTGGAATATAAGGTAAATATAGCATGCAATCCACAAGGTTACACATATTCTGTATATCTGTTTAAGTTAACTAGTATGATTGAAAGTCCATTGCTGGGCTGTCTCTACCATGTATCAAAAAGTTTGCATTTAATTATCTGTGTTAGTTAAATGTAATCAGTGTAATTTGTCATGTAACTTAGTTGTAAAGTCAAAGTCAGCTGTGTAACATTAATTCTGCACTGTACAGACAGAATAAGACCACAGATTGGGCATGCTAAAACACTGATGCTTCAATGAAACCAGTAACATTTTTGCTGCCAAATCCAGAAAGATATTTGAATGAGCTTTTATGACCTAAAAACAATAGATACTGATCAGAGGAGGTTGGGTGGTGGGCGGGGGAGAAAAGCAGATACTGATTCTTTTTTTTTTTCTTAGCTGAAGATCACTACATCTATATTAAAATATGGGAAGGATGATTAAGCATATATGTCAGTATGATCAACATGAATTTTTCTAGGTATCTTGGACTTCCTTTCACATAATACCCCATCATGCAATCTACTAAGTACACAGGTGGTTGGGTTTTTTTTTTTGTTTTTTTGTTTTACATTTTATGCTTATGAAAACTGGAGTCACTGTAGAGATATTTTGTTTAAGAAAGCTGCTTAGTTGACTAAAGAGCCTTTGATAAACTGTGGAAGTAGATCTGACAAGGACTATTCAAGTCCTTTCTCCTGGCTGTGGTAGTTTATGGGGAAGCAAAAAATATGAGTGGAGATTTTACAAACTCATCTACTTTTATGTAGTCTGCTGATACATGGATCAGGCATTAGGATGGCCCCAGGCCATGTTTTGGTCACTTTAATGAAGTTTATGACAAATTATAGTGCGGGAATATACATTTTATATCACTGCAACATCTGCAATAGTTGTACATATTGAAACTAGAAAATCATTAGATTTGTAGAGAGATTTGGCATAAATATATTAATATACTTTTAGTTCAACTTCATAATTCGTTTTTGACTTCTTGTGGACATTTTCCTAATATAGCATCAAAAAACCAACTGTGGATCTTGACATCATGTTTCAAACTGAGTGCAACATTAAAGTGCCTTATTCCCCTTGGAGCTGAGAAAGGAAGCATTTCTAGAAACACTGCAGTGCAAGAACAATTCATTGTCACCTCTTCTCCCTCCTGAACGAGGGACTAGCTTTGTGTCTGCAACATTTATTAATTTAAAAAATTCATATCTTACTTTTCAGCTGAAGAAGCTTGCCATTTGGCTTATGAGATAGATTACAAATTTGTGCAATAATATTACAATATAAAAATGGTAGTTATTAGCAAAATGTTACATTTTGTTACACTAAATCATGTGTAAATTTATGGAACGGGAAACCAACAGATGATATATGGCTATTGTAATTAACTTGAAAATTAAGTGAGGAAATCAGCTGAGGTCTAAAGGACCAGAATTCTAAAAGGTTGAAATTGCAACTAAAAAGAACTTTCCCTGTATTTAAGATACATAATCCTCTGCAGATCAGGGATATGGTATGCAACTACTGTCAATTAATATTGAAAACTTTATCCAGACAGATTAAAGGATGATGATTGGCAAACAGATTTATGAAAAATCATTGAGGTATTTATAGGTAATTATAGCATTTTATTCCTAGAAACAACTAGTGAATGTGAGTTAATATAAGGACTTCCACTGTTTGCAAGGTTAGTTTTTGAAGGATCGCCATAAAGTGGAGTTGAAAACAAATGTGACTGTGGTCAAAGCATTTATGAGGCATATAGAAAATTGCAAGTAGGTCCAGAATGCAATAATACACAGAATAATGGGTGCCCATAGATTCACCCATTTAAACTTTTATTGTGCAAATTGCACTGGCTCCAGATTTCTTCCAGCTGCAATTCAAAGTGCTGGTTATCACATTTAAAACCTTACATGGCACAGGACCTGGTTATTTGTTGCCTTATCCTAAGAGAACACGTCCATTCCACTAGATCAGATAGGGTGGGCATGCTCCAGATCCCCTCTCTGGAATCTTGCCATCTGCTGTAGTGGGGTTTCAGAATCATGCCTTTTCTGTGACTTCCCCTAACTTGTGTAACAACCTCCTACTGGTGATTTGACAGGTACCCACTCTTGGCCTTTTGGAAGACTTAAGACACAAGACCCAGCTTTTTACTGAGATACTGGGATTGTATAGGGTTAGGGTTGTGTACTTCCTAAAGAACAATTACTGCAAATGGAATTTTGTTTATTGTTTCATTGCTTTTATTGTTTTTAACTTGGTTTTATTTATTGGTTTTACTGTTATTGTGAGCTGACCAGAATTGTTTAACATGAATGGGCTACATAAGTCTGAGAAACAAACAAACAAACAAAACAATGGAGATACTTATTTTGTCCCTTTTCAGCTCTTCAGAAGAATATGGTATTTACCTTATCTCAAGGCATGGGAGATTGGAATTTTACAACACCTTAATTTCTGAAAAGTACTCTACTGAAAAGAATTTATTTAAATTTGCAAATCACTGTTATCCTTATCTCTTATCTTAAAAAATGGAAGTAAATCCAAGTAATAGCAACTGCTGGACTCAGCCATTTGCAAGAATTTTATTCTAGTTACTCAGCAGACCAATTGTTTTAAGCATAAAAGCCATATGGAATATTGACAACATTTGTGTTAAGAGACTATCATCAGTAAGAGAAGGTTTTATACATTCATTTGCAGGATATTTGAGAAGAAACATGGATTTTGCCTGTACTTCCCTTTTCTTCAAAGGAAGAGGATGTTGGATAATTTGGATGAGAAAAATAAAGCTGATTTATTTGGTTTTGTAAAAGAGAAAATTGATTTGTGAGTCACAATTACAATTGCTTTGAGTAGGGTGGAGATGGGTAGACTAGAAGAAGGAATGAGGACTAGGCTGTATCTTCTTCTGCCACCCCAATTCACAAAAAATAATGATTTCCAATT